CACGTTTGTGTCCCGGCACACAGGGAAGAGTCTCCGAGTGCCCTTTAATTACCCTTTCTGATGGCAAACGGAACGCTGTTGTGACAGCATCACTGCTCTCCCAATTGCCTCTTCAGGAATTTTATCAGCTGTCTCGAGTCCTGACACTCAGGGAAGAGGAATCCAATCGGACCTTTCTGCTTAAATAGGCTCTAAATACCCCAAATTAACGACGTGCATTTCTCTGTGGAAGCAAGGACACTGTTCTCCTTGTTTCTGCAGCATGGGGAGGGAGCCCAGCCTGCTGCAGGGCTGCTGCCTGCCACACTGCCTGTGCCCAGCTCTCCTGCAGCTCCTGATGATTCCAACAGGACCAAAGCATCCTGGCTGTGGGAACACGGCACAGCCTCGCCCCTGGTGGCAGTGCAGAGGCTGTGGTCACACCGGGGTCACTATCACAGGGCTATTGGCCATGGTGGACGCTGTTCATGGCCCTGCACTGCTGCAGCTTAGCAACAGCCATGAGTGGAGGGAAGCACAGCAGGCAATGGCCAGTCCTTCGAGGGCAGATGAGGGGATGGGTGAACCCAGCGGTGTTCCAGCAACAGCATGGGGTGGGCAGGGTTTGGTCCCCAGCAATGTGGTGGCTGCCAGCAGCATGATGAAGGTGCTTGAGGGATGAATAAAGGAGAAGAGACCCTGTTGCCATCCCTGTCCTTGCCTGGCACTAATTCAGCTCTCCCTTTTCTCTGCAGGAGGAAGACATTGAGTACTACGACTCCAAGGCTGACACTGAATACGTGAGTACTGTCCCTATGGCACCCCGGCACAGTCACCACCCTGGCCTGGAGCTGAGCCCCTTGCTGGGCTGTCCCATCACTGTACAGGGAGACATGACCCAGCCATCATCACAGCCAGTGTGACCAGACTCTGTGTTGGGCAGTGAGTGCCCAGTGCACGACAGTGTCCCCCCAGCTAAGTTGTGGTGGCATCTGTCCACCAGCACCGGGCCTGGCAGCAGGCAGGTGAGCAGGTCGCTCCTCTGCCTGCAAAAGTTTCTAAAATTAAAGCTGGCATCTGAAATTCAAATGAAGAGCAAACCTTTAATTAGAGACTGAATCTAATTCTCTGCCCCCCTCCCAGCACAGCTGTCCTGTGATTTCTGGCAATCAGTGCTCTAACTACAGACCCGACAGCTCCGCTCTCCTGGCGCTCCCACGGGAGCTGGCATTTGCCAGTTCCTCTGTATGGTGATGGTGATGGTGACTTCACTCAGGTGCTGCGCCATGGGCACAGGGCACACCACCAGCAGTGGCTGCTGCACCACACCCTGGGTCACCCCACTTTGCTGGCAGGTGATTAGTTATCCAGCTCCTAGACTGTGCTGTGGGATCCTCCCAAAACAGGGGCTCTTCGGGTTGGTGATCCTTTTTGCACGGGGCCTCTTTGGAGCAGGTGCATTGCAGTGTCCTTGGAGCTGCCCAGGAGCCCCAAGTAGAGCGGAATGCAGCCTTGGGGGCAGCCCCAACCAGCTCCAGTGCCCCAGGATCAGTCCTTGCCCTGAGGCAGAGCAGCACATGTGCCATCAGGGGTAACACAGCAGGAGGGGAGGAGTGGCAGCACATGGCATTGGCAGCAAAACACTTGCAAACCTCAATGCCACATCCAAAAAAAATGCTCAGGTGACCCCATGAGCCTTCAGAAAACCCCATGAAGAAGGGGGGGGAGGATCTGGGTTTGATGAGGTTCCACCAGTTCAGGTGACGTGCCCTATGCCGACCTCCAGCTCTCCCTCATCCTGCCTTGGAAGTGATGCCCCAGAGTGGAGGTGAGAGCAGGCTGGAGCAGAGGATGGGTGCCTTCAAAGCAGAGCTAATGATAAACTGCCAATGCCATTGTCTCCAGGTGGTGATAGCAAGAGGGCTCCTTGGCAGGGGAAGCTAGCCATGGAGAGCCTGGGAGGTGGCATGGAGAGGTCGAGCAGATGCTGTGACTGAAGGGGAGGGCAGCTGCTCTCCTGGGTAGATCTCCCTGCTTACTGTCCCACTTATTCAGAGCAGAGGATGTCCCCTGTCTCTCCCCAGCCTGGGGGAAGCTGCCAAAGGAAGAAGGGGAGGATCCTGCTCACCATGACTGCTCTGGGGAGGATGGAGCTAATGGGTTTAAAATACATTAAAGCGGATTTTGGATAAAAATGGAAGAAAAAATGGCTGGCAGTTGAAGCAGGAGGAGCAAGCCTGGGGAGCAGGGCAGCTCCCAGCCCAGGGAATGAGGAGAGGGACTAATGCATCTCTCTGTCTGGGCTGGACTTTTGCCATCACTGCCATAGGGCAAAGGACAGGGAGCTGGATGTTCCCATGCCTTCTGTTCCTCTGACCAGCACCAGCTGCCCACACCCTGCCAGTGTCAGCAGCAGCAATCCAAGTCAGTAACTCCTGGCTGTTAGCTTTGGGATGAGCCATTTCTGGAAGTGAGGAGAGCATCTTGGTCACGTTAGGCAGGATTAGGAAATAAGAGGCATCTCGTATTTCCTCGACCTCGAAGCTGTGCCCATGGGGCCCTCCCAGCACACAGGTCACTGGGTAGAAGCCATGCACTGGTGTCCCTGGGGACCACAGGGTTCAGCTTCCTGGTCCTTCCTCCAGGGAGTTGACATGTCATCAAGGAAGAGCAGCCCTGCAAATCCATCATCGGCCACATTGGCTTTAGTCCTTCTCTGGGGAGATACAGCAAAATTGCAAAATTGGGGGTGTCCCGTTGTTGAGGTATGTGGGTTTGGCAGTGTTGCTGTTGCTTCCTCGCCAGTGAAATCCCAGCAAATTTAATTCCAGCAAAAATAATGGGCAGAAAAGATGATGCAGAAATAAAAAGGAAGGGAGATGATACTACAAGGTTTGAATGGAATTTAATAGTGTTCTTTCCATCTTTTCTTTATTTAGCTTCAATTTTTCTATTTAAATGGTGCAGGATGGAGCTGAGCTGGAGCTGGTGCTGATGGACAATGGCTGCTCACCATTAACTGGGGCTGATTCAAAAGCCTTATGCTGCCTTTAACTACAGCAAGAAGGAAATGAGCTACCTATTCATTTTGCCTGCACCTCAGCTCCACTATCTCCCTAAACAGGCTTTAGATTTCCAAGTGGTTTTTAACAAATGGGAACATCAGAAAATTTTTCTGGGGGTCCCCAAGGCTCTCAAAATGTCCGTAGAAGTGTTGACCTTTCCCCACTAGCAAGGGCTATGGTTTTTTGGGGGGGAGAAGTGTTTCGTTCAGCAGATGCTCTCGGTTGGGTGTCACAGGCAGAACAATACAGAAATAAAGTAATTTTCCATCTTTTGTGTTGTGTTCATGGCAGGGGATGATGCTTAGGTCACAGCTGAGGCCAAAATCCCCTGGGAAGTACTGTTCTACAGTGGAAAGCATCACAGCTCTGTGAAGGTATCCTGGCCTCAAGGTCAGCCCTTCAGCACCCACCCACCTGCTCGAGGTGCCAGGGAGGGCTGAGACTGAGTGTGCCAGCCTCAGCCCCCTACAGTGTGGGGTAGGCAGGGGTTGCACGCTCGCTGCTCACCCCACTTGCTGCTCACCCCTCGCACTGTTCACCCTGCTCGGTAGATGCAGCTAGGAGAGGGAGGAGGAGAAAAAAGCCCCTAAATGTCAGCAGCAGCAGATGAAGGGTGTTGGAAAATTTAATCTTCCAACTTTCTCAACTAATGTGACATTTGGATTTCCTCCCGATAAGCTATCAGCCCCAGAAGTTTTTTTCTTTTGCCTTTTTTCTTTTTTTTTTTCCTTTTTTTTTTTTAAATTCTCTCCTCTGGCTGGTAATTTAAAAATAAATGGTCTAGAAAGATCTCTAAACAGTACCTTTGGCAAAGATTAAAATAAGCGAAGGGGGATAGGGGAGCAGGCTGGCGGGAGAGGCTGATTGTTATTTATAACCTGGGCTGCTACAAAAGCAGGATTGTGGCTGGAGAACACACCATCTCCCTCCCTGGCATTAAATTACTGCATTTCAGGAAAAACTGATATATTTAAGGAGAAAGACCCTTCTGCACAGGCCTGGAGTTTCTCAACCATGTGTTGGGGGCTGGCATTTATATCCATTATTAGTAGAATCACAGCGTGTTGATATGAATATTTTGCTGGCTTTTCCTGACAGTACGGTTGGGTGCCCCTAGGAGATTGAAAAGGATGTGTTGGGATCTCAGTGAGATACATTCTCAATCAGGCGTGTGTGGGGCAGGTCATGGGATGCAAGGATGCTGTCGGGATGCTGCAGCCGGATCAGCCCTGCATTTGTCATCACTGCTGCCATTTAAGCAGTCATCATTAGCCGTGATGGCTTGTTCCCATGGAGATGTGCAATGAACAGGGGTGTTTGCATCCGTGGGAGCTGCTGGGATGAGGCATCACTGCTGTGCCAGGTCACATCGCCAGCTCCATCCACACCTCCAAACTGTGGGGCCCCCTGATAGTCCTTGTGCCCATGGGCAGGCTGGCTCTCCTCAGCCAGCGCCAGCCTGGATGTGCTGGGGGCAGGTACTTGCTGAGAGCACAGCAGCCTCCAGGAGAGCTGTTGGGTGGTGCCACTGGTGTTCATTAGGTATTGGGGCATCTCTGTGTTTTGTCCACTGTCTGTCATTTTGGAAGACTCAAGAGAAAATGTGATTGGCAACCAGCTGCTAAAGCACTGGAGATGGCAAAAGCTCTCAGCGCGTGATGACTTCTCGCTGAAGCAGTAAATACGTATCATATTGATAGATTGCCATGGAGTCGATTTCTAATGGTGTGTAGCAAATAATATATTCAAACTGTAGCATCTATTTGTGTTGCATTGTACATACTGTAACAGATAAATAGATGTTTCCACATTCTTTTGAAATGCAATGATGAAAAATACTGCAGAGTCTGGCTGGGGCCTGCCGAGATGCTCACAGTTAAACTGGTGTAAATCCAGAACTTTGCTTTGCTCTAATTTAAATTTAATGCAGAATTTCTTCCCTTGGTCTTCCCAAAGTGGTTCTTTGTATCCCAGACTCACACTGAGATGCTCCCCTCCCTGCCTAGGCTGGTGACAGCTTCACCTCCCTTCATGTGGGTGGAAATGACCCCATTTCGGGGGCCAAATTCAGCCTTAAACAGAAACAACTTGGTTGAGGTTGGGAGATTTATGGATAAAGGATAAACGTAGCTTGGATAACATCAGCTCTTTCCGCAGGTCTGTTTGCTGTATGGGTGTCAGTGATGCATGAAGTGCCCCACGTATAGATAGCTGTATATTTGTCCCCAAGATCTATACATGTGCCTCTTTACAGCTCCATGAATGAGAGCAGCCGGACAGCACCAAACCTGGCAGCATACAGATTAGCCCCTCAGAAGTGGGTGATGTCGCAGAATAATGATAAACAGAGGAGCAGTAATTATATACAGTAGTTCCAGCTCTGATGAAGTGGGGAATGGCCATGCCAGCATGGGGGAAAGAGGAAGGGTTGGATTTTCCAGGTGCTAGTGGTGGGCAGGATGCTCTGCTGATATGAGATGGGGAGGTATGAGGAGCTGTCACCTGGACTTTACTGGGCTGAGGTAAAAAAAGGATTTAGTGTCAAAGCAGATCATTTGGTGCTGCAGGTGCCCTCGGGCCACAGCTTTATCCCAAAGCCTGTTTTCCGCAGGTGCCTCTGTATCACTATCTGGTGCTCAGAGAGGTTGCAGGGATGAACTATTGTGTGTGCATTGCTTTCCCCCAGAAACCTGAGCCCTCCATCCATGACAGGCTTGGGACTGGATCTGCTCTCCAGGTAGCTGATGGACCAGCACACAGCTGGGGTGCCGGCTCTGCTGCAGCATCGCAGCTTTGCAGAGGGTCCAGCAGTCAGTTTTGCATCTTTTTTTCTGGATTTATGTGAAATTGAGAGCATAATCTGGATTTTGATCTTGGTGACATGGCTCAGGGGAGTTGAGGACAGTCCCTGCCTGCCTCCTGCTTGGCTGCTGCGGCTGTAATTGAGTTCAGCATCTTTCTGGGCAGCTGGAGCCCCCGCTCCGGGATCGGCTGGGCAGTGTGTTTACACTCACAATCCATCAGCTGGAATTAAAGCCCAAACCTTGCATATCAATCCTGTTATTCTCCTGAGCTGTGGCGAATGGTTTGGCCACCCCTCTCAATGTCACAGGAATGTCACCACCGTGATAGCCAGCTGGAACTGGTGCAGGGAAGGTGACATCTCTCCATATCATCTCTGAAGGGGAAACAGAGAGGAGGCCAAAATGAGTGTTAAACAAGCTTCATAGTTTATTTCCCAAATATATTATTTTCCTTTAAATATATGGCTTTTCCCATGGGAAATTCAGGTCTTCTCTCCCCTGGGTTTTGACGAGACAAGCCCGGCTGGTGGGAGAGCTGCTCACGCGGGGCCATTGACATCAGCAGGATGGGACTCTTCCCCACTCCTTGTCTCCACTGGTGTTGGGGTACTTTGCTGCAGGACGGTGTGGGGCATGCCTCCAGGTGTCTGTCCCAGGCACAGCACCATGTGAGCCCTGCCTGGAGTTGCTCACACTTCCAGTCACGTCCGTTGTCGCTTCTGCAGGGCTGATCTCTGCTACCGCAATCAGCTGGCCTTGCACGGCTCCGAGATAGGCACTTCACTGCAGGGGGCACAGACAGAGAGGCACTGAGCTTCTTCCCGAGGAAAATTTACTCCCTTGCCGGGCAGCTCAGCAGCCAGATCCACTCCTACTCTGCCACAGCCACCCCTGCCCCTTTCAATCCCACAGCCAGGGCTGGAGGAAGGTGACTCAGCTTGGGCCCGGCATGTCCCTGTCCCTGTATTGTCTGTCCCTGCCTGTGGATGGGGCAGGCAGCTCTGTGCCTCTGCCTTGCTTCAGCAGGGATGTAGCTTCAGGGGCACAAAATGCAGGTGCTGCAGCATCCTCCTCTTCCTCCTCTCCATCCTGAGCATCTCACAGCCAGCTGGGCTTGTGGCAGGGATGGGCAGAGGCAATTTCTCCAACTCTGTAGCAAGGCCACCTCCATTCTCCCTCTTTCCCATATGGTCCTGTGCCTTGGCTCCCACCCTGTCCCCTGTGTGCAACCACCCAACCATTCTGCCTGTACTGGCTCAGCCCTGCCTGCCTTTCCAGAGAGATTTTACCCTCAGTGCTGTGCTGGCAGCACAGCTGAGGAATGGAGAGGAGGTCTGTGAAGGCAAGGAAGTGTGTTCCAGCACCAGCAGTGGGGAATTCGCCATCTCTCCACCATAATTAAATATTGTTTGCATTGCTTATTGACAGAGCACTAAGCTGCACTCTGTTTTAATTTGCTCTTTGATAGTTGCCTTTTGCAGCTAATTGATTTTCAAGGCTTTTTTTGATTTGGGTTTGGGGGGGGGGGGTCTGATTTAATACCTGCTGTGCTACCAGAGCCAGAGATGCAATGGTAACCAGTGCTCACCTTCATGCCCACCCGCTCCCGGCACCCACTCCCCTGTGCTGCAGGCTGTGGGCCAGATCTGCACAAGGCCAGCATAGATGGTTTCCACCAGGGAACACTTGGTGATGGGTTTTGGGTGGTGGTATTCCCAGTGTGCATCTGGGACTGGCACCCTGGGTGACCCCATGTGCTCTGCTCCTTCCCCAGGAGGATCCCGATGGAGAAGAGATCGAGAGGGAGAAGTCCAACTCCTTGAAGCTGGAGTTCACTGACGATGACAACTTCAAGACCAAGGTTAACTATTCGTACGCTGCTGTGCAGATCCCCACGGACATCTACAAAGGCTGTGAGTGCCCCTCCTAACCCTTTCCACTCTGCTCCAAGCTGTCTGGCTGGGCATCCATCTCTCCTGCTCGGGGTGCTGTAGCCCCATGGACCATCACCTCTGGTACCCCAGCTCGAGTCTTGGTGCCAGGACAGGATGACTTCCAGCTGGGTGGACACTGAAAAGAGTCAGTCACTGTGTCAGGACAGAGGTGACAATGTGTCCCTCCTCAGAGACCCTCAAGAGCTCAGCATGGGACAAAGATGCATATCAGGAGTTACGAGTTATTAGTGAAGGGGTGGAGAGCAAAGGAAAAATGGTAATTATGGCACAGGGCAAAGCTCTGCTATGCCCACACATCTCTGATCCTCCCTACAGAAGAGTCCAGCAAAGCTTGAGGGTGTTCGTAGTGGTTGCTGGAGATGTTCAGAAGGATGGAGCTGGAGCAATTGTGGTGGCAGCATCTACCTGCTCTTATGAGGGAGTGAGACAGGGCTGGGCAGTGGGAGAGGGCAAAGCAGGGATGCCACCTAACCTAACATGAAAAGGGAAAAAATGTGGCTACAATCCTGCAGGAAGGCAGCCAAGGTTGACTTCAGGCCAGTGTGATGCCACACTAGGGCAGCCCCTGCTGCTGGGAGTGCGCAGGGCGTGAGCCCCATGGCCACGCCCCCGTGGCTGCTGGAGGGCACAGGCTGCTCCAGAAAGGGGGAAGGGGCTGGTGGGCCAGCCTGGGAGCGGGCAGGGAGGGATAGACGAGTGGGTGGGATGGGACCTGTCACACCAGCTTCAAGTCCCTGTCGGGTGGTGTCATATTCCCTGAGCTTTCAGATCGTTCAGTACCTTGCCCTGCTGCGGCGGCACATGGTGACAGTCGGTCTCCATTTCCCTCTAGTGGCTGCTCTGCACTGAGCTCAGGACCGCTCCCAGCTGGAGGGCACCCTCCAGCACCTGCCGGCCACATCCTGCTTCAGCCCCAAACCCTGCTGTCACAGGCACCCCTCATTGCCCTGCACCACCCAGGGCAGCGCTATCCCCACACCCATTTTTTCAGTGGCACTTGCTAAGGTCTCCTGAATGATGACAGTGGTGATGGGAGCTGAGCTCACACTCCTGGCCCACCGGCACATGCTTGGTACAGAGGCTCGTTACAGCACAGCTGTGCTCGGACCCACAGCAGTGCAATGATTTCACCACAGCAGCAGCAGTGGATTAGAAATTTGCAATTAGTTTTATTACCCAGCTAGTGCAGGGCAAGCAGCTAATGAAGCACATCATGCGTGCTGGGTGGGTTGTATAGGATGAAATATTCATTCCTCCTCACCCCAGCTCAGCAGCCGACACCATGGCTGGCCTGCCACGGCCGCATAAATCACCCCCCTTGGCCCCGGGACCAGAGCAAAGTGGAGATAAACGTGCTCCCGGGACTCACAGCCACTCAGAGAGGGATGCTGGAGAGGGGACAGGGCAGTGGAGAGGTCACAGTGTGGGGACACCCTCCTAATGCCCCTTCCCAGACAGGGAAAGGGACCAGAGCCACGGGCACAGCAGTGTATGGGCACAAGGATCAGACCATATCAGCCACACTAGGGTGTTTCAGAAAGTCAGGGTGCGGGGAAAGGTACCCAACTGCTGTCCTGCAGAGAGCAGTTTGAGGTAAGGACATGGGACTACCAATGTGCCCTCTCCTACCAGGGGCACCAGTGAGCGTGGTGAGTCCCTACAGAGCCGTGAGCAGGGAGCATCTCCCCAGTGGGACCCGGCGGAGAGGCACTATCACTGCCTGGCACGCTAATTAAACCACTGCAGAGACGCCCGCTGCCGTCACCCCTCACTACACACACAAATTACATCCTATATGTGTTTTATTTACTGTGCCATTTTTAATTAAATCTGCAATCGCTCGCAGGTGGGGCGGGGCTGAGCTCACCCTGATGGGGACTAGGATGACATGCATTCAGGGACAGGGTTGTCACCAGCAGGACTGGCAGCTCTGGCCACAGCTGAGGGGAAGAGGAGTCAATCTGGCCATGGAGACAGCCTCCAGCCAATGGGCACTAGCTCTTCACTCTGCACACAAGCAGAGTGTAGGGGCTGTATTTGTGCACAGGGGGGTATAAGGTTGTGTTTGTTCACAGGGATGATATCGGGGCTACATTCATGCCCAGGGAAGGTATAGGGCCTACATTTGTGCTCAGGAATGATATTGGGGCTGTGTTTGGGTGTAGAATGTGTATAGGAGCTGCATTTGGTACAAGCCTGGAGTGGCTGATGAACCCTGAGGGGCTGGGGGTGCTTGGACTGCTGGGGCTATCCAGTATGTGTCAGTGCCCAGCCTGGTGCCTAGCCAAGGCTGACAGCACTGCCCAGGGCTGCTCCAGACATGCAAGAGACTGGCAGCCTGCTCCTGGCCACTTCTCCTGGGAAAAACCATGTCCCGTGGCAGAGCCAAACAGGAAATCATTCTAGGTGCCCAGATAACAGTTCTCTGTGTGGGCACAGAGCTGAGGAATGGCTGGGGAGATATGGATGGAGTAAATCATGTTTTGAAGGCACAGCTGCCTGAGGGAAGAAGTACTGTTCAGCAGTGGTGCTGGAATAGAGGGATCCAGGATTCACCCTGGGTGAAACCAACCCACGTCCCACCGGTGCCTCGGGACCATGCTGAAGGCTCAAACAGGTGATGACAGTGTTTCCAGGAGGGACAAGTGTGGGAGAAAGCATTAGGATAGCTAAATATACTCCTCAAACATACACTGGCTCCCCTGCATCACCACATCAGGTTATTTTGCCCAATGCCAAGGAGAGAGGGTGCTCCTGGGAGCTCTTGCACCCCAAAAATGCACTGAGGCTGCCCCAGGAGGGAGCAGTGCCTGGTCTCATGGTGCTGCTGGCTACCCACTCCTGCCTGCAGTGGCACTACTGACTCCTCCACTCCACTCCTCCTCCTGCTCAGGGCTTGGGGTACTCACGGCATTTGAGGTCCTTCTGTGAGCACAGGGAAGTACTGTCACAGCCTCCCTGCCAGCC